GGAAGTATTGTGTGCAACAGAATAGTGCAAGCTAATATTTCTAGACCTGAAACACCAGCTATATGAATATTGGTATTTTTGCACTAAAGTATTTATATACCTACAGTTTAATCTTCCAGCCTTTTGCAGTAACAAAGCCAAAGTTAATATCAAGCTCAGAAGTACAGTGCCATACACATGCTAATATCAGTTATCAGTAAGGGCAGGAATGAGAAGCTATTATAGAAAACCGTAAATTTAAGACTCTCTATAAGAAAAAATACAGAACTGCTCTTAGAGGCCAACTAAACGAGCTGGACAAAGATCTACACAACACACATGGAAGATGTGGGAATTACACCCCACACACACCCTGCCATTCATCACAACCATTTTGAAAGCATAAGAATTGAAGCACACCTATGCATAGTGCAAATGTGAAGTGTGGGGTTTGAACCTATTTGTTTTTTTAGATGGTCACTGTGCTGTGGGGACATTTGGCAAAGAAGGTGTAAGATGTGTGGAGGAACTTCAGGAGCAGCGGACAAAGTCTGCACAGGGAGAAGGCAGAGTAAATACTCAGTACCAGAGCCAGGAGTCCAGGTGGGCTCTGATCACACTTACAAGGCTGGGCTTAGAGCTCTGCTTTGCACAAGTGCAGCACAGTTTTTGCATCTCAGGAATGAGAAAAAACAGGGCAATCACAGCCATACCCATAACGAGCTGAAAAAAACACGTAATGCAAACATCTGCAAGTATTTCAGTAAAGTACCTGAAAAGTATCCACCAAAAGAAGGAAAAAGATTTAAAAGTGCAGTTTCACTCACTGCTTATTCACAGTGAGATGCCTTTTTTATTAAATATAATAGGACATGGGGGGCCCAACACGGGCTGAACATGAGTCAGCAGTGCACCCTTCCGGCAGCAAAGCCTAACCAGGCTGCGTTAGCAGGAGCACAGCTGCTCCAGGGGAGGGACTATTCCCCTCTCCCGTACTCCTGAGGCCACATCTGCAGTCCTTTGTCCTGTTTCGGTCTCCCCATACAAGACATCAATATACCCAAGTGAGTCCAGAGGTCTAGAAGTGCAAGAAAGGGCTGAGGGAACTCTTTTTTCTCCAGGAAAGCGACAGGTAAGGAACGGTGTAATTGCAGCCTACAGTTACACTGAGAGAGCTGGACTCAGATTCACAGCAAAAGAACGAGAGCCTGTGGTATCAAGGGAAATTCTAATGAGATAACCTTTCTCACCATGCAAATATTTTCATGGTGAGAAAGGTTAAGTACTGAAACAGATTGCCCAGAGAAGCTGTGGTGTATATACATCCATGGAGATATTCAAAACTTGAATAGATCTGAATTCCATGTCAGCTCATCATTGAGCCATGGCTGGGTTAGAAAACCTACAGCAGTCCCTTCTAACCTCCACTGCTCTTATAAAATTATAATACAATAATATATAGTACTTATCCTTTCAAAAAGCAATTATTTATATTGCATAACACTTTCAGAGAGGTTTCAAAAACTATCACTTCGTAATAGCCCTTCTGGAAAATTACCCTCACCTTTAATACTTTTTGACTAGTACTGTAACTGTGAGTGTTTCCACAACAATAAAATGCTTCAAGCTATGTCTTTCAGAAGGACTTCTAATGAGAAGTTAGAAAGATTTAATTCTGCAATGGGCAAAAGCAGTGTGGTTCAAAGACACCAAGTATTCCTGGATGTATTTAAAATATGTAGGGTCTTTTTTTTTTTCCCCCTATTGACACAGAACTAATCACGATGTCCTGTTTTTAAAAAGTATCACAAATGCTATCATTATAATCAAAGTGTGCGGTGAAACAGAGGTAACTATGTTTGAAACCAAACACTCAAGTCAGAAAACAGTTCCTAAGTAATGTTTGTGTTGAGATCTCTCAAATGTCAAGAGATACAAGATGAATAAACAGTCAGCCTGTTTTCAGCATCCTCCAAGGGCTGCTGATGCACAGCAGGTTGGCACAGATGCCCCAGACAATTCTCATCTTGTTTCAGTAGACTATCCCACATCTGAATATGTTTGACGTCTGTGGCAGAACTGGGGACCAAAGCCAAGGAGCAGTTCATTGGCAGGAGAGTTCCTGCCAACAGCAGGTGATAAAGTCAGCTGGAGGCAGAGCATGTGGCACTGTCCAAAGGGTGTCTCTACAGCACAGCTGGGATCAGGTAGGTGCTGTACACCCTCAAGTGTCACACTGGTTTGTTGGTAGGGCTTTGACAACTGACGTCAGGTGACAACAGATCAGCCAGGTTCAGAAAACATTCTGGTTTTGTTGGCTTCACATGCCTATTTTCATTGTCTGAATCATGCAATGACTCTCCTCAGATGGTGCAGGCCAACTCTGAGCAAACTGAAGCAGAGAGGAGCCAGCTGGGCCAGCCAAGGAGGCAGTCTAGACTACACAGCGCTCACTGCAGATGTTCGCACAGGGACTCGGTGCCTCAAGAGCTGCACGTCCTGCATTAATCACTGCAAACTCCACATGTGGGAACCTCTCATCTTTAGAAACCTAGAACAACTTCTTATTTTTTAAAGGTATGGCTCATCATGCCAGATTCACATAGACATAGTATTTATTAGCCATAGAGAATATGGCAAGCTCATCTCTTCTGAGTCATTCGGTAAGTCTTCGGCAGTACAGAGAATTACAGATGAGTTCTCATTTCTGTGCCTTCAGTTTAGTTCAGCTTAGGACAGTTAAGCATCATATAACAGCCACCTGGCACAGATTACATATGATAAGGGTATAAGTGAAATGGCCTTATTAGAGTGTCAGAGAACTACATTCACAGGCAAGAGCAGGACCACTTTTTTTGCACATCTCAATGCATGAGACAAAACAGAACACTTGAAAAACTAATAACCTTCACAATTCAGCCAACATCCTTCTGTTTCAGCTGAAATCCTGACACTGACTCGAAAGATTTTGCATTTGCAGTCCCTTTCCCTCAGACTTCATCTCCCCTGCCTTTATGACAGCACTGTGAATTTCGCCTTCAGCTCCCAGGAATTCATTCCTAAATGAATGGTTAATGGAGTGACACATGCAAGTCTCATCACTGTGATGTTCCAAACTCAGCTGCAAAGACATTGCACATTATACAGGCCAAGTTAAAAATTAAGGCAATTCCAGTTACATGAACAAACAATTCCTTTAGCCAATTCAAGTTACTGGAGACAGCCCTGTTAGATTGTTTTAACACACAGAAGACAATTCTGATTTCCCAAGTGGAAATCTTAGAAGTCAAATTTCATCACAAAAGTTTGATCAGCAAACTGTGATAACCCCTAAAAATCAAAGATGGCAATATGATAATGACAATATTAGCCTACAATAAATATAGTAGTCACTCACTGAGACAAGGAAAAAAGTCTATTCATTTTCTATATAAAAGTAAAAAATAGATCTCTATCAGTAACATCCTGCATCTGCTACTGAGTGGGGAACTTGATTCAGCACTGGCTGAGACCTTCAAGTGTTCTTACACTGGCAGAGACAGGTGAGTGAAATATGTATCAACAGAAGTCCAGAATATATATAAAGATAGCTTTATAAAGACAAGTAAATCTGTACAGTAATTTAAAAACACATGAACTAATTGCCTCTGTAACTTGGTCACTGCAATTATATCTAAGATAGTAGCATTGACTGTAATGATCTTTCCATATAAATCAAGATGTCAAAGCCGTTGTTACAGAATCTCTGCCATAATTCAACACTTACTGTCCTCTCCTTGACATAAGTTTTAAAAGTAAGACCATTCAAAATACCAAGAGAAACAGATCTCTTATCCCCGTGGAAAAGGTCTTTTCCAGAGGTAAAGAGTTTCCAAAGTTCAAAGCTGATTCCTCAATCATAATTAATCATTGTCACTTTCTTGCTTCTATTTCTCCCTCAAGTTACAAAATAATATGTCTGGTCCACTTCCTTTTCAGATGTATTCAGAGAGCTCTTTACTATTCAAAAGTCATTCAGGAGAAGCAATAATATTCCACAAATAAGAAACCCTAAAGGATGGAAATATCAGGAAATAAATTACAATTAACATTGAAAAGCCTCATGTGCTGGAAAACCAGTGACTTCCCACACCTGAACTCTCTCTTTTACACCACAGTGGGAGCTCCTCTGACTGTCAGCAATCCATACCAGAGAGCTCAGCCCTGCCTGGTGCTAAGCACCTGCTTCAGGAGCAGCAGTGATCACTGCACAACATCAATGCTGCAGTGCCAGCAAGGATTTCTACAAAATTGTTACAGCATTAAAGAACTTGAGACATGAGTCACTTCTGTCGTTCCAGTCTCACAAGAGATTACATAAAGAGATGTTTTCCAACAAAACAATCTGTCGTTACCTCCAGATTTCAGGCAACCCCTTTATGGGTTTGCACGAACTACAGTAGGAAAGGGGAAGTATCCAGTTAACAAAAATCTAATTTATTAAATGTGGGGAATACGAGAGCTGGTTCAAGCGTGCAAGACTACTTAACTTATAGACTGTAGTGGATCACTAAAGTCTGGGTTAACATTATTGTCCTGTTACTACTGTTGTCCTCAAACACACTCACATCTATCACTTGCTATTTCTTGTAAGCACCACAGAACATCTGTTCATGATTTTGGGAATAAGATGTAAAATTATTTCATTAAGCTATTATTTTGAGGTTGTTTTTACATCCATGTGCCATATTTGCTCTTAAAATTTCTAGGCTAACCACCATTCAATGTGCTGGAGGCTAAAATTTCATTAGGGCTGCTTTTATAGTGTCAAAAAGTTGAGTTTGAGGCACAAACTCCAAATTATTTCCAAGTATTTGATGAGCAATCAACAAGGACACTGTTATGCATATATTTTCTTTCTTTAAAGTACAGAGAGACAATTAGAAGCATCTTTTTTGAACTGCTTGTACTGATTACTCGTGATAGAGACCGACACAATAAAGCACATTAGACTAGTAAAAGCTTGTAATAACTTTTCCTACCTTATCTGCCATTATCATGGAGGCCCCGCCATGAATTCCAAGAATTGGAATAGAAGTCTGAGATGAAATAAAATCCAAAATCTGAGCTACTGCCTCCTGATCAGTGTCATCTCCAAAAACCACTCCATGGATCTTGGTGCCTGACATCAAGTCGCAAACATGTGTTATGATGCTCTTAGGGTCAGTCTGGTTCACGAGAAGGGTCACTACATTGACATCAACAGTCAGGTCTGCTGACATTTCCCTGGTCCAGAGAGCCCTGATATCTCTCTCTGTTATGTACTTGGTCCTTCCCAGAATCACTGCAATGTTCAGGATGGGATAATTTTTCTCTGCTCCACGAACAAGATCCAAAGGCGTCAGAAGAGCTTGGAGTACCAGGAGAGCACAGCCAATTTTCCTCATCTTTGCCAGCTTTGTCCCCTGTAAAAACAATCACATTGTATAAGAAAAACACAGAGGAAAGAAATATATACTGTAGATCTCCAATGAAGGTTTTAAACAGAAAGCATCTGGGCACAATGCAAACTTCAGCAGCTTTTTATAATGCATCCTTCACCTTAGTTTCAATTCAAGCCTCTGGTATCCCCTCAAAAAGTTGGCTTGATAACAACAGTATTAAGCTGGTCTCCCACAAGCAAGGCAAAAAATGTAGCACGAGTTCAGAGAAAAGACCCATTAATATTCTTCCTGGATAGCCAATAAAAATAAAGTGACTGACATAATTAAAAAAAAAAGACAGTATCATCCTTCTCTGTAACCTTGCTGCGCTAAAACAGGTAAAACAGAAATCGCTTTTCCTTCATCCTGAACATCTATTTAAAATTTAGTCACGTCTAACAGGGAGAGATACTTTAGCTCAAAATGAGAGACTTGAGCCAGAGGTCTGCTGGAAACCCCCTCTACATATTCCATACATCTCACAGCATCCCAAAAACCATGCTGATTTATTTCTGAAGATCTCTGCTAGGCAGCTGCTGCTCAAGAAAGCCTACACTGCATTTCTGGAACACATTCAGAAGCATAATATTCCATCTTAATTCTTCTCCCTCCTTTTATGCAGCATTGACTTGAACATCTCAGAACTGCTGATCTCGGACACAAAGTTGTCCCCGGTGCTGAAGGGGAGGGTGTTCCATAAATGAGCATCACTGCACTGGTTACCTCATGTCTTCACTGAATCTCTGTAGGGGGCTGAATATAGACAGAGTAGGATGGGGAGAGAGATGAGACACAGAAGTGATCTGAACTATCTGAAGGAGGGAGAAGAGGGAGAGCGGGTCTGACTCTGCAAGATCTCCCTCTGTTTCTGTGCCCCGAGGGATTTCCACCCCCATAACTGGCTCTCTGCAAGCTGCAAGAAGGGAGTCCCTGTGCCACATAAAGCCAAGCTTGTTGCGAAGCGTCACGCAGAACACACTGACGGGGCTGTCCAATCAGGGGCGGCACTTCTCACATCTCCCCTCTCATCCTGCCAGCCCCATCTCCATCATCAGTCAGAGCCGTCTGCTGCTTGAAACGCACACCGAGACGAGGGCTGGCAGCACCATCACCTCCTCTCGGGGCAGGCGAGGAGGCGAGCGCTCCACGCCCCGCTTAACCGCACATCAGCGCCCCTGCGCTGCGGGCCGGGCTCCCACCCACCGCCGCAGCGGCAGAAAAACCAAACCCAGCCGCCTCCTGTCCCCCCTCCCGACGCGGGGGGAGCCGCGATTATCGCGACAAGCCCCCTCGGCTCCGAGCCCCGCTCCCCGGGCCGCGGCGCTCGGGCGCCCCCCGGCGGGCGCGGCCGCACGTACCGAGCGCCTCAGGAGACGGAGCGGCGGCGGGAGCCGGACGGGCCGCAGGTGTCGCTGCCGGTGCTGCTGTCGGTGCAGGGCATGTCGCGACCGCGGGCATGTCGCGCCCCTCGCTGCCCGGGCTCAGGGGCGGCCGCCGCGCCGCCGGCCGCACGCGTGATCCCCGCCGCAGCCTGCGGGCGACATCGCATCCCGGGAGGGCAGCTACGCGCACAGGGAGACAGGCGAGGGGGGACTGGACACGGGGACGGGACAGAGACGGGGAGAAGCCGTTAGTCAGGTTGCGGGGTTGGCAGGGGGGAAGAAATGTACTTCAGCCTCATGTGAGCAGAAATAAAGTGACTGCGCTCAAAAGTTCCCCCCCCCCCCCGCCTTCGCTTAGAAATGCATTTCAGCGCTTTGCTAAGAGCCCGCAGCCGTCCGGGAAACATCCCTCATCCCTATCCAGGTCAGGAAAATCCTGGGCTCCCAACTGCCCGTCTGCTTCCAAGTCAAATAGATGGGTTTGAGCTCTAAGGGAAGAGACGTCCGACCTGGAAAGGGCAGCTAGAAGCAAACTAATTCACATGGTCAAGGGCAGGAGTTTTCTTGTCAGGTTCAAAACGAGCATAACCTGGAACACAGCTATAGCGGTGCGGGATAAAGCTCTTTTCGCTCTTGCAACGGAACAGCTTCATTCCCAGTTTATCATAAACAAACCCAGGGAGACACTCTAGCTGAACCCGCCACGGGAAGCCCGATTGCTTTGATTTCCATTCCCCATTTCCAGTAAATATGCGTAAGGATAGTTCTTCAAGCAGCCTCGGCTAAATGTAGGACGCTGGCGCGGCCAGGCAAAGGCAGCCGGCATTCCCTAACTGGCCCTCGGTGCTGGCTGGGAACTAAGAGCCGAGCCCGGATTCCCGGGATCCGGCACCGCCGACATCCCTGTGCGGCTCCCGGAGCCTCCGCGCCCCTGCCCAACTCCCCAGAAAGGCAATACTTACTGCATTCTCCCTCCACATAGTTCCAGTTTAAAGATCCTCAAAGTCATTTCAGTAGATTCCTTCGCAAACAGTGAAGTGGAAAATAGGTCCCTCAGCGCCTGGATTTCATCCTGCAACTTGTTCCCGCCGCAGTAAATAGCAGCCCGGCAGCCCGTTTTTATCGCTTGAAATCCCGCATGATCAAGTTTTAGCAGAGCCATCGCAACTGAGATTCGCTCTTTACTTTTGGCAGGAGGCGTTTAAGCGTCTTCATCCTTTTTTTTTTTTTTTCCTTTTTTCTTTTTCCTCTTTTCTCTCTCCCCCCAGCCGCCTCTTTTTTTTTTTTTTTTTTTTTTTTAATTACTCGCTGTTCGGAGGGGCAATCGCAATGCTGCCGCAGCAGTTCCCCGGGACGGCAGGCACGGAGCCCCCCGCGCTGCTGGGAGCCGGCGGTTCCCGGAGGAGCGGCGGGATCCGCCCGGGGCCGCGGGCGCGGCGCTGCGGGTGCGCGCCGGGGCCGCTCCGCTCCGCCGCCCCCGGCACCGCCGCCCTGCGCTGGCAGGGGCACAGCTCACACGGCCGCCTCGTCAAACCCAGACCAGCCGCGGATACTTTGAAGGCTCTTTCCCCCCGCCCGCCTCTCCCGCCCCGCTCTGCTCTCGCACAGGCACCAGCGAATGAGTCAGACGCAGGCAATCGGGGGAGGGGGTGTCGGATCTGGGGGAGCGGCGAGAACACCAGGCTTGGGGCTCGGGAGTGGCAAACTCGAGCGCTCTGCCCGCATTAACATCCCCCAGCGAAAGGCTGGTAGCCCGGGAAACCCCAGAGTGTTGTCCTTTCCCTTGATGCAGATGCTGTCAACCAGAAATCCCTGCCGTGGGGCTCAGGGGAATGAACGTGGAGCAGCAGCTCACACACTAAAAGCAGCCCTAAAAGCTCCAGACCGCAGCCAAATATACAAAAAAGCTCTGTAGAAGTTGGCTCCATCTGGGCATCCCTGCTGTTCCATCACCCTTTCGGTTTCGCCCATTCCAAAGCCTTGTGCCTGTTTCTCCATCTCCCACTCTCCCAGCACAGCCGTGGTGCCAGACCCACCTGGCCTTTGAAGCAGTTCTTGTCTCCCAGCCCACACCACACCCCACCCCACCAATACTTTGCTCCACCACCCTACTGTGCCTCCTCCTGATTGCTCTCCTGCCTTTTTCCCCCCCCCCCTTTCCACCATCCTGCTCCAGCTGCCACAACTTATTTGGTTTAACACAAACGAATGTACCAGCTAAGTACCACACAGGGGATGGCCTCCTCCTGCTCCATCCTTTACAGCCATATGCACTTCTACACTGAACACTTCAGAGCAGAGCAATGTCACACATTTTGACAGACCCACTCCTATGCCAGGGGAAACCTTTGGGTTCAAATAGGATAAATGTCAAGCATCCAATCACTGAGGTTTGCTTTTCACCACATTAAGACACACAAAACTAAGAAATCTCTCCCACAGACATTTAACAATGCATCAGCTTTACTGCTCTTGACAGTCTCTTCATTGCATTCCCCAATAGGTCTGTGCCTGGGTTTTTGTCCTCCTTTGAAAGATCTCACCTCCTAACTTATTTAGGGATTACTTCCTCAGATGTTGCATTAGTCTTTCTAAGGAAAGTAATTAACATCTACAACTGCACCTTTTTTTTTTTTTTAATGTTTGATGTTTTAATGCATCTCTGCATTTCACCCTCCATGCACACTTTTCCCCTGTAAATATTACAGCCATTTTTGTCACGGTTACTGGAGATGCAGTTGCAGCTCCATCCTGGTGTAAGGGTTATTTCAGTGTTACCATTCAGCAGATTTGTTGGAACACCAGCAAAACCAGGGATTCAAGATCCTCAAATGCAAGTGAAATTCACAATGGTGAAAAAATGCGACTCAAACATTAGCATATGTTTAAAATATTAAAAGTGACATGGTGTCTTTAGAAAATACTTATTATACAATGTATGTGTACAATACATTGACTGAATCTAATTATGTGAAAGACCAATACAAGAAAACCCAGATTTTCTAACGTCAGAGCTATATGATTGTCACTGATCTAAATTTAGAAATAGTTTAGCATTATTTCAAATATTTTTCCTCAATTACCCTTGTAAAAACTTGTGAAATACCACAATAAACCAGTACAAATTTTAAAAAGTAGAATTAAAACATTAAAAGTTTGCACAAACACAGTGGGACTAATCTTGGCAGTACTATGCAGTCCTCCCAAAAGCCTCACTGTATTCAAGCTGATCACTGCCTACAGAATTGAGTAGATGCTGCAAAATTAGACTGCTGCTTTAACAGACATTCACAGTCCATTTCTAGGTATATTTGCATGGTTTAATCTGAAGTTAAGGAGCTGCAAATATGTTAAGTCGTCAACTTCACTCAGCAGAAACAAGGAAACAAAATCTGCGTTTGAGTGTCTAACCCTGGTAACTTGTGTGTGAGAAGGGAACACTTCAAAAGCAGTGTAACAAGGACTACATCCCTGCACTTGTGAGATCAAGTGTTTTCATGGAGAACATTTATTCTGAAAGGCAGATGGATTGATCCCTAAGTGATTGCCTTCTCCATATGGGCAGCTTATCTAAAAGCAGCTACAACACAAGTTCAGGAAGTTTTGGAATTCTTCACTTGTGAGGATATTTTCCAGCTGGGGTTTCCCTACCAGTCCTACCTGCTACATAAGCATGCATTTAAAGGTCAGGAACTTTTTTCTTACTCAGTTCCTCCTAAAATAATATTAAAATCACAAGAAGGTTTCTTTTTTCTGAAAATGACTTGTTGCAGAGAACACTTGTCAACAGAAACAAGCAGCCAAATTTTCCAGTAGAAGCAATGTGGGGTCTGATGGTCTGGCACCAGGCAGATTTCTGTCTCTGTTGCTGACTCAGTGAGTGCCACTGTGTCTGTAACTCTCTCTCTCCATTTACTTTACTGTACCAGCTGAAAGACGCTTAACCTCTGACACGTTAGACAACTAAATTTAAAGTCAAATTTAGCCCCTAGATTCAGGAAAACAACTCTATAATTTTCCTCTTGCTTTCAGAAAGAACATTGTTAAGTAATGTAGGTAATTTCACTCTTCAGAAAACATTGTTCTTATGAAGTGACATCAAAATTAGTCAAAAAAAAAACCCTTCAACACATTTGATAACACATTACTGCCACTCTGCTTTCCATAGAGGTAGTCTTCGTTGCAGAAGCTTAAGACAATTCAAGAGATCTCTAAAACAAGTTCCAGATCTGCTCAATAATCCTCGTTATGTGGAAACTCCATCACACACAACTCCGTGTTTTGTGAAGCAAAATGGTAACAAGAGACTGCAGGTAACTGGCCAGGTCAAGGGAGAGAGGCTCACTTCGAATTCATCCCAAGTTGTAAAATGTTTCCACTTTCAGCAATAAACTACTTGTACATTTAGGCAATGTTGCTCTAACCAGTAGCAATTTATTGATATGCATCTTATCTGCCACAAATATCTGAATTTCATCTACCTTGAGAAGCATCTCCAGCAAGAATCAAAAGTGACATTGATGCAAAGTCATTTTCCAGTACCACACAGGATCAAATCTGAAATGAAACCACTTGACTCCACAAAAACTCAACACAGAGCAAACAAGGATACAGGAACATAAACGTACTCTTGGGAGGCGACAAAGTTACTTACACGCTAAATGAACTCAAAGTAAAAATGGGAAAGAACTCAATTGTTTTCAAACTTGCTAAAACATTTTGTCACAGATGGCCCTCATATTGAAAACTGGCTCGGCTCCTCATTTGGCAGTGCTCTTCCTTGCACAATTTACCAAGTCATGCATGAAATGATGGCCTTAAGCTACTCTCAGTTTTGCAGAGGACATGAGCGAGCTGCCACGGAAAAAGAGGAGGCAACATCACTGAGTGGAGCTTGAGGCTGTTACAGCACTTCAACTTCTCTGCAAACAACCCCCAGCAAGGAGAGAACACCCCAGGGAAGCTCAGCCAGAGTTCCTCCTTTCCACTTCACCCCTGATTATCAGAACTATTCGAGATTCACCAGGATTGTGTCTTTGTCTCTTTTGTAATCAGTTTCCTGTATCAAATTAATCTTCAGATGTATTTCCAAACTCTGCTATGCAGTTTCCAAGAGGAATTCTT